TTGCCTGGGTAAAATACTTGTCCATGGTTCATCTGTGGGCCACAACATGAACTGTACCCATCACATTTCTGCAAACTCACCACCTCTGACTGTGTTGTATTGTTTTAATGAGAGTGTGGGCATGGGTTTGCCCCACAGGTGCTATCACCCCTCTTCTCAATGGGTCTCTGATGCCTCCACCCCCAATAAAAAAGGATGTTTTCCCACCCAAAATCACTGTGAGATCATTCTTACACATGATTACTAAATATTGTATAAAAACTCACATATAATTGAGTTTAAAAAAATAAAAGCATGGAAAACATCTAGTGATGAGAGAAATTGCTTTTGCATTCTGACCAAAGGCTGATATTGTTTCGCTGTCAGCCCTTAAGAATAATGAAGCCTTGCTGTGTTTCATCTAACTATGGGGGTAGCTGCTGCTTTATGAGGCCCTATTGAGGAGCCCTGAGGTGTCACTCCTGGTAACCCCCCAGGCTTCCCCCTCTTGCTGATTCCTTTCTGTTTCACACCTCCAGGTGGGACTATTATTGTGATGGAAGGTCACTCCTCCCATCAGAGAAAGGCCACTTTCCATGAATATCACACCTACTTGTTGTTTTCTTGACCAGTAAAACATGGAGTTCACACAGATACAGTTTCTTACTGGTCGCAGACGGTTCCGATGGTAAACAAAAAGAAACAAGATCTCACTACCGTTTAGATAACATGACGGCAATCAAACCGGGAAAACTAGCTTTACTAAAATTGATTAAAACATTCAATAAATGAAAAATGTGACCAATAAAAAAATAGATTGCTGTTAATATTAATTCAGCTTCTGCTGAGGGTTCTACCGGTTAAAAGGAAGTTTTCTTTACTTATGTCACCACATGTATGGTCAGAATGAGGGACTGGTGCAAAGTCAGCAGCTTAATGCAGTCAAATGTGCAACAAGCTCGGTAAGCTGGAAGGAAAGCTGCCATAGGATGAGACTTATACTATTTTTTTCTGAGGATTTTATTTTGCAACAATGTTTGAATTGAATTATCAGAGACCGACTTTGGATCTGCCTATAGGATTTAATTGAATTGGGACTTAGACTTTGTCTAAAATATTAGCAACTTTGCTTTAAAAAAATCTTGTTCTGAGGGTATATTACCTGAAAAATATAATGGACACAACTAAAGAAAGGGGGTAAAGTATTTAGAGACATTCATAGGGATTCAAATGCTCTACTGGCCAGAATACAGCACCGTGTCATCAAACAATTTACTGAACATCTGTATATTCCTTCTGCAACCAAAATGGCTCTAAATATCACTGCTCACAGTGCAACTGCAATTTGAGGTAACACAATTTAAAAAAAGCAACAATTGTTTACAAAAGGCAAGAAAGGAAGTCATGGGAAAACGTGGCCAACCGCCACCAAGATGAGTATTTTTTTTTTTAATTTAATTTCCCTAAAAGAAGGCCCCAAATTATTCAGACTCCTGTCAGATTTACGTTAAACTTAATTTCTCAAGTCAGCTTCTGCTGGATGGGGAAAATAATTTATGGGAAGCCCAACTAGAATTGTTGACATTTTCATTGCATTTCTGAATTACATATAAATGGGTCCTAGACAGATTTATTTTAATTCTTGTGCCAAGGTTTAACTAAAATAAGTTGCATTTACATCCTTGGTGCCCTTGGATGTGTCCTTGTAACAATCACATGATGCAGTTATGCCCCCTACTGACAAACACAAGTATTGCTTTAGAAAAAGAAAAACACAAGAGATGTGTTAATTTCCAAAAAGTCTTTTTTTAAAGAGCCAAAATGCTAAAAACAAAAAAACAAGTCAGTTTTTTAATGTAGTTAATATAAATATAAGTGTTTTAATTTCAAAGTATGTCTACAGTTATGGCTTTACAGTTATTTTTTTTTATCTCAAAACATATTTTAATAGGAAACTACCTTTATAACAAGCTCAAATATTCAAACTACTTCATAGGAATAAATAACATCTTTCTTGTTTCATGCATGATTTTTTTTTATATTACAAAAAATACTACATATAAATCACTGAATATCCATGAATGTTAAATACTTGAAGGTCATTTGCACGTAGACAGAATCTCCTGACAGCTCTTGTAAATTTTCACTAAGCAGTTGAGCCTCGGCTTGGAGCTCTGAAAGATAAGAATCAAACACGAACATTGTTTTTAGAGGACTGATACAGAACAGTGATTTAAAATAAGCTCTACTTGATGCATTGACATCCAGGATTTTAACTCACCTGAAACAAGGTGACAACACTCGACACTCCATGGGGTTCTGAGGGGTCCCTCAACAGCACACACAAGTAGTAGATGATCTGGTGCTGAAATAAAAGCACAAACAACCAATTGGTTCTAAAGCTAAAGCTTGGACCAGTTTGGTTCATGCATCACAGTGCAACATAACCCCCAAACAGCAACACATCTTTTGCTGGATTGACTCAAAGTTCAAACCTGCAAGCAGCTGTGCACCAATGAATGCCAGTGAGCAGCTATGTTGTGTTATTGGAGTTAGACTTCAGAAACTTCTCCAAGTAACAGATTTAGGGCTGCAACTAATGATAATTTTTCAATTCAATTAATGTGTCAATTGTTCTTTCGATTATTCGATAATAATCGGACAGCCAAAGGTTCCTTAAAGAAGATTTCTTACAGAATTAAAACAGGTGAAACTACAATGTTTCCACTTGAGGAGTTCTGCAAAGAGCATATTGACAGAGAAAACATTTTTTTTCTATTTTGTAAATGCAAAATGTTTACATATTTCTTTTACAATCTTGGTAAAATTATTGATCTGAGTGGATCGCTCTGTCAGCTAAAGGTATGTTGTAAAGTCTCTATACTCCAGTTAAAATTAAATGTATTACTAAATTTATTGAAGATTATTCCAATAATTGATTCATCACAATTAATCCAATTAGTTGTGTCACATAATTTTTCTGTATTCTGATACACACTAAATCCTTAATTTAAAGTGATGGTACTTCACTTTTTCCACAATCACTTCATGCACTTACGCACCAAGTAAACGGCTTCATTGATGACAATATCTTTGATCTTGCTCATCTCGATGAAAGTGGTGACCTCGCGACCTGATGCATAGCTGGAAGACACCTGGATGCCCAAGGAGCCAATGACGAGAAGGGACTCATGGTCCACCTTCACTAAGTGGATGTGAAGCATCATTCCCACCAGGGTGATGAGTATAGCACTGGAGAGAACTGCAGTGTTCTAAAAGACAGGGGAGACAACCACATACAGGTAAATATGGGCAAAATAATAATAATTTAGGTTATTCTGAAAACTTACATGTATGTATCTTCTGATATTTACAGAATTTTAAGATTTAAAGACCTTGAAAAACTGTCTGACATGCAAATGAGATAATTAAGCAGTGTTAACCATTGGATTACACAGAGAAATGACAAAAGGATAAATAATGTAGCAAAATCAGAAAAAAAACACAAAACACTTTCAGATGTGGAACTTAATTTCCATATACCATACTTTAGGCTACAATAGAATGTAATATGCCCTTTGAATGTGTAAATATTACTTTTTTTAAAGAGCTCGGGTCATAATTTAGTAATAACCGCCTTACCTGCGTGAAGAAGAACACAGTATAAGCAAAAAGCCACACAGAGCAGGTGTACACCATCACTTTACCGATGGATATCTTTGGGGTGCTAACAGTGAACTCCCTACAAAAGCTGGAGTGGCTTTGACAATCCAAGGATATCGGTTTGCCGCTAATATTAAAGAAGGATTCGTCCTCCATTGCGAATAAAACAAAAAACGTAGTGCGCACCCAGGAAAAGCAATCATTCAGTGAAAAAGCAGAGCTAACGTTAGCCGCGAGCTAACGTTCAAAACCAAGGTTAACAACAAGCTATGCTAACTTAAGGTAAAGAAAAAAACCTTAACGACAGGGGAAAGAAAACGCTAACAGAATGATGTCAGTTGGTTTCTTTTAAAACTGGAAAATTAATTCTTCATCTCTTATATAAAAATATATATATTTCAAAGAGAAGTGCAGCTGGCTGAGATGTTGGTGCCGAAATCAATCTCAACTGTTGCTGCAATGTTTTTCACACCAGAGCGTCCAGCTTCAACCGAAGGCGTCATAACATCCAGATATTGGCTTTATTGTGGAAACATTGCACTTGTAACAGCAGCTATTAGCCTAGTTGAAACTTCACACAAGATGAAATATGGGTATTTATAAGGGAAGTCAAACGGTATAGAGGAAGAAAATGTACAGGCCATTCGCAAATGGATAGGATACGTATGCCGTTCGCCATGTTGTGAGTGGCAAGATAACGTTCTTTTCTCAAACAAGACTTTAATCTCTGAATTCTGACTGAATTCTGACAATAAAAAAGTCAGAATTCTGAGAAAAAAAGTCAGAATTCTGAGATTAAAGTCAGAATTCTGAGAAAAAATAGGATTAGGGCCACTGGGCAAAAAAAAAAAAAAAACACACACAAAAAACAGTTAACTGATTTTTGATGTTTAACATGGGAAAAAAGTCAGAATTCTGAGATTAAAGTCAGAATTCTGACTTTTTCCCCATGTTAAACTGAAATAAAAATTGAAAATCAGTTAACTGTTTTTTTTTTTTTTTTGCCCAGTGGCCCTAATCCTCTTCCGTAATATTTAGACTACTTATTTGAAGGAAAAACATGTGTTTTCTATTCCATTCCATCCTCGTCACTCTGCGCATCGGTGTACGCCGGTGTTTACCACAAACACCCCGTAAAGCAGCTGTGAGGAGCAAAGGATTATGGGTAGGCTAAAATGACCAATAACAATTGTCATAAAGTTCTCAATTCACCTTTTTAATCTATTGGTAGAGTTAAAGCAGATATCGATTTTTAAAATTCACAATACAATAGAATATGTTAATCAATCGCAGGGAGCAGCTGAACTCGTGAAATAAAAAATAAATAAATAAACTCCATTACCCATCATGCACTTAGTTTTCCACTTTTGACCCTTGTGCTAAAAACAAGCCGATCAGCTGCAGCTTCTAGGGGGGCTGCTGATAAAACATAGCTTAGCTCTGCCGACAGCAGGTAAATGTGGCAGTAGGCAGGATGGTCCTCGGCTGACAGGGGCAGTTTTAGCCCGAGTCCAGACAGCGTCTATAACCTGGAAACCCTCCGTCAGTTGGAGCTGTTAGCTCAGCGGAGTGAAGTGAAGGTAGGCTGCTTTCTTTGTGTTGAAGCGGCTGTTAGCTAACGGCTGTTTATTATTGAGCTAGAGGACCTTTTGACACTCAGCACCACCTGGTGATTAACTTCGCATCCTAATGTTACCTAACAGATTTTTTATTCTATGGCATTGTTTTCATATTTGTTCCCTAGTGTTTCTTTTACTTCAGACTGAGCAATTTTTTTTATCATTAACAGGAAGCTAGAAGATAGAATTTACTTTGTTTGGTAGTTTTTGACAATCAGTAATGTTTGAGAACCAAATGATTCGTGATAGATTATTATAAACTTATCCTGAAATTAGAAATTAGCTTTGCACACAGAGATTCTTTATTGCGAAATACCTCAAGCTCATTCAGATTGATAGATAACAAATGAATAAAATAGAATAGAATTCAACTTTATTTTCTTTACAGTGTCACAAGTATAGAGCAACGAAATTACCTCGCAGCATTTCACCCATCCTCTTAAGGAGCTGCCATTGTGTGGCGCCCAGGGAGCAGTGTGACGTTAAGGGTCTTTCTCAGGCCCTTAACCCCATGCTCAATGCCCTAACCACTAGGCCACCACTCCCCTAAGTGAATATCCACTTATTTTTATCCATTTTATCATTAATATTGACCAAATTCCAGCTGCTTTTGAAAAGTTTCCCCACAGTATGATGCTGCCATCACTATGTTTTGGTTACGAGGTGCAGTATTTTCTGCCTTAACATAGTTCTGTGGGTCCACATTTTTTTTAGTCTCCTTCAAATATGGCTTTTTAAATAGAAAGACAGATCTATCTGGAATACACAAATAATAACTGTGCTTTTCACAGATCTGCTTCTCAGATTAATTATTAAACAGTCCAGCATGAGTTTCTCAAAGCCCGGGGTATTTTTCCAGACATTAACCAAGCTTTAAAGTTCTTCACAACATTTTCACTTGCTTGTTTGTCTTATTTTTATTTTCCTCTTCATGACCAAGTCTGTTGGCTGAGGTTCATCTGTACTTGTGTTTTTCTATTGGATTCAACTCCTGGGTTAAATCCTTTTACTGATAAAGGATTATAATGATTGATTTCATTATATTTATGGTTATCAAAGTAAAAGGGTCCACATTTTCAGATTTTAGAGGTAAATCATATATAAACTCCATAAATTTGACAGTTTTGTATTAATACTCCTGCTGCATGCCGTATGTCCTTTATAGGGCTGCAACTAATGGTTATTTTGCAAATAGAATCGATTAACAATCAAATCACAGAATCCTCAAAGAAGATTTTTTTTTTTAATAAAATTAAACAAGGTGAAACTAAAACATTTTCAATTGAGTCACTAGGCTGCACAGATATTTTTGGGGGCAGGTGCTCAGGCTCTAAAAAGGGCACCCTCTACGTCACTTGGAGCTGCAAACAGCCATGAACTTAATGCTCTGAGTTATCAGGTGCAGGAAACAGATTACACTGTACAAAACTTTACCTTCTACTTATAATAGCCATTACATTTTACATGTAATGGCTATTATAAGTCTTTAAATGTGTGAGGATCCCATTTCTTCTACAGTCTCTCTTCTGGAAAGTAGTGAATTTAGAATGTCTCCATCCCCTGGATAAATATCTTTTATAAATATTTGTCACTTGCTCAAAGTTTGTCAGGCAGGTTTTCCAAGGTACAAAGAAATAGAGGAAGTCTAATACAAAGCCCAGGATTCCAGATTATCTAAGTTTATTTTCTGTTTTGAGTGGGTATATATATGACAATTTGAGGACAAACTTAAATTTATATTTAAGATATGAAAAAACTCCCACTCTATTATCTTATTTCAAGGACATAATATTTAATAATCTTATTTAAGGTTACCAACTCTTTATTAAAGTTATTTTTAAAAATTGTGATCATTTGGCCTTATGTTTGCTTTTATTTGAAATGTTTAACAGACAAAAGGTAACATGTGTTGTGTAGTTGTCATAAAAAGACGAGTCGAATCGATGTCATGTTATCTGTTTGACTCATGTATTTCTAGATTTGTTGTAAAAACAGCAAATCAATAATTACATCTATGAGATGCTTTAAATGACATTTTTTTCCGTTTTAAACCGTTCCTTGGCGCCTTGTAGAGGCCATTAAAGACGATATGCTATAAAGTAACCGGTTGGTGAAGGAGGTAAATACGCTTGTTTGGTTAGCTGGCCCTTCACCAGGGCAAGGCTCTATTCAGGTGCCTGCTACACGTCTCGTGGAGTTAAGTTACAAAAATCTAGACTTTTGGTTTGAAAGGCTTTTAAATTCATAATTTGTATTTCGGGCCAAAGGCTAAAAACAAAAAAAACAATTTCAGGAAGGCGCTTTTTTTGTCTAGAGAGGAAAAGGGCAGGAGCTCCAGCACCACCTAGTGTCTATCTGTGGATGTCCCTGACTTGAGGAGTTCTGGACAGTGTATTGACAGACTAAAAAACCTTTTTTTTTTTTTTTTTATGCAAAATGTTTACATATATTTTTACAATTTTTATATAATTACTGCCCTAATTAGATTGCTCTGTGAGCTAAAGGCATGGTTTAGAGTCTCCACACTCCAGTTGACGATTAATCGATTAATAAATTAGTTTACGATTATTTCAATTATCGATTAATCCCTCTTTTACTGTTTTGCTTCAGCCGTTCATTTTTTTTTAATTTACATAATTCAACTTTCCAGTTGCTCAATTCCTTTGGAAATTATCTGACTTTTCAGGTTTACCATGAGTGGCCAGAGTCCAGCTGTGGATAAAGGAATGAACACTATCCTGGTCTGCCAGGAGAGCTACGCCTGTGGAGGCTCAGACGAGGCCGCGTTTGAATGCGATGAATGCAGCAGCTTGCAGTGTGCCCGCTGTGAACTGGAGCTCCACCGGCAGGAGCGCATGAGGAATCATGACCGGGTTCGGATCACAGCGGGTCACGTTCCCTTCTGCGACTCCTGTAAAGGCAACAACAGCTGCGCTGTCAGACTCAGAGCAGTGGTGCGTTGCCAGGGCTGTAAGATCAACTTGTGTTTGGACTGCCAGAAACGCACCCACGGTGGAGTAAACAAGAGGAAGCACCCTCTGACGCCTTATCCCCCCGCCAAGGCTCCTCAGGACAGTGGCGTAACCGACGGGGAGATGGAGATCTTCAAACTGAAGCTTGAGAAGGTGTGCAGCTTCCTGTTGGTTGACGAGAGGGAGGAAATGCAGGTAACATCCACTAAAATTGATCAGACTTTAAGCAGCAGCTTCATCTTTAAATCATGTTTTCATTAAAAGTGATATTATTCGGATTCTTAGGTGAACAATGAGGAGGACTTTGTCAGCAGACTGGGCTGCAGCCCAGATGAACTCCTCAAGGTGGTCTCCATATTTGGCAACACTGGGGAGGGAAAATCTTACACGCTGAACCACACTTTCTTCCTTGGGAGAGAAGTATTTAAGACTTCCCCTACACAGGAGTCCTGCACCGTGGGCGTTTGGGCAGCTTTGGACCCCATTCATAGAGTTGTAGTCCTTGACACAGAGGGATTGCTTGGGGCTGGTATGGCACAAAATAATTATTTGCTTGGTTATTTACTCAGTTCACCCTTTTAAATTACCTTTAATAACCGCTTTTTTTTCTCTCTAATCAGGAGCTAATCAAGGTCAGCGGACCAGACTGCTCCTAAAGGTACTAGCTATCTCTGATGTGGTTATCTACCGAACCCATGCAGACCGTCTCCATGATGATCTCTTTAAGTTCCTTGGAGACGCATCAGACGCCTACCTAAAACACTTTTCTAGGGAGCTGAAGGTAACCACAGCCCGCTGTGGTCTGGATGTTCCCTTGTCCACACTGGGTCCTGCGGTGATCATTTTCCATGAGACCGTCCACACCAAGCTTCTGGGATCAGGTATCCTATCAACTGGTTTGGATTTAAATCAAATCCTTTATTAGTATTCGAGCTACCTAATGTAAGCCGTTCTTCTCTCTGCATCTGTCCATATTTAGACAAACCCTCTGAATCTGCTGAGCGTCTGCTCCAGGACCGTTTCAGGAAACTGGGGCTTTTCCCCGAGGCTTTCAGCTCCATCCAGTACCGCGGGACTCGCACCTACAACCCTCCCACAGACTTCAGTGGTTTGCTGCGCAGCCTGGAGCAGCAGCTGGATAACAACAACACCCGATCGCCGCGCTCTGCAACCGTTGTCTTCAAGGCTCTGCAGGTGTTGATGCTAGTCATAGATCCTCCATATTTGTCTCTTGAATTCTTAACCTAACCCGCTGCTTTTGTTCAGGCCTTGAGTGAGCGTTTCTGTGGGGAGATTCCAGATGAGCAAATGACCAGTAACTCCTTTTTCCCAGATGAGTACTTCACCTGCTCCAGCATATGCCTCAGCTGTGGGTACGTAGCCTCTAACAGGAAGTTACTCCTTGTATGTGACCTTAATTAGAAATAAATGATTCAATCTCCAAACATTTCTCAACCTACAGATCAGTGCAAAGCTTTTTATTGATTTTCTTCTAACCTTTTCAAGTCTTATGCTTCAGCTGTAAACTTTATTGTGATTTATTTTGTTTTTATATGCTAGACTGACACAAAGTTGTGCATAATTGTGAGGCAGGAAAAAAAACCCAAACCAATAATTTGCTTTTGTTTTAGTGTCATTATCCCCTGAAAGGTGAACCTCTACCTCACTCATATAACTTCTGCAGCCTCTACCTGCTTTTCTTCCAGTATTTAGCCCCACATGTCTTCTCATAAACTCTGACTAGCTTTCCTGTTCCTGCGGAAGAAAAGCAGGGGTCTATAACCTTTAAAATTAAAGAGCTATTTATTGCATCAGCTTTTAATAAAACACTACTTAATATTTTTGGTAAATATAGAGGCAGTTGGAAATCTGTTGCCATTTTAAACAAACAATTTATTTGTATTAGGTTTTTAAACAAGCTAAAACATATATTGTTTTATGGAAAGGAGCCCTGGACTTTCTTCTAAAGAACATTATTTTATGTTTAAAAAAATAATTATTATTTAAAAGCTAATGGAAAAAAAAACCTAAAAACATATTTATGGTGTTTTTAATGTAACTCTACTGTGGAATTTATATTGAAATTTTCTGCTAAAAACTGCTAAAGCTTCTAAGACTGGTGTTTACGGAGCCCCTCTGATGACATGGTCAAAATAATTTTTTAATTATGGCCACGAAGTAGTATTTCGTGGCCACGCAATAAGTATAACGTGCGCACGAAATACTACTTCGTGGCCACGCAATAAGTTTAACGTTTGCACGAAATACTTATTAATAATATTAATATCATTCCTGGACAACTGGGTAAGCAAATCGAGCACGCCTTCTCTAAGGTCTAAGGCGCACTCGATTTGCTTACCCAGTCGGTCTCCGCCAGTCACGTGACATTTGTTGCTAAGACGCCATTTTAGGTGGAAAAGGCGTAGTGTAAACAACCGCAGCATAGCTAAACGAAGGACTAAAGGCCCGTTTACATAGCAGCCTGTCCAAGATAAGTCATTACAGTTAACATAAGCCTGAAAACAGGGGCGGATTTATTGATATTATTAATAAGTATTTCGTGTGCACGTTAAACTTATTGCGTGGCCGCGAAATACTACTTCGTGGCCACAATTAAAAATTTTTTTTTGACCATGTCATCAGAGGGGCTCCGTAGGTGTTTACTATCATATGATAGTTATTATTATTATTATTATTATTTTTAGTCACTATTAAGAGCTAATGTGGAAGGTCCAAAGAGTTCCTGCCAGGCTGTTATATTATAATAAGTTGACTTTATTTAGGAGTATCAGACTTAGTGGGGAATTGAATGCAAATCTAAAAAAGCAATACTTTTTTGGTATCTGAACTTTTGTAAATTACAGAAAACTAAAAAGTGTTGAATATAAACTTGGTTTCTTTTTACAGATCAGGTTGCAAGAGAAGCATGAATCACCTAAAAGAGGGAGTCGACCACGAAGCCAAACATCGCTGCCGCTACTCTGCGCAATCAGACAACCGCATCTACACTTGCAAGGCAAGTAAAGCAGAGCAGAAGAGCAGTTTAGTTTTAAATGTAATTGTTTTTTTTAAGGTGATTAATGTCTGTTTGGACTCACTCAGGCCTGCTATGAAGGGGGGAAGGAAGTGATAGTGGTTCCCAAAACAACGGCGTCTTCTGACTCACCGTGGTTTGGCTTGGCTATCTACGCCTGGTCGGGGTGAGTCGCAGAGGACTTTGTTCAGAAAAGGATGAAGTTCTTTCACAGATTAATTCAAAAAAATAAATAAATAAAAAATAGAAAAAGGAGATTTTTAATCTTTCCTGGTACTGAAACTAATGTATTTCTTCAGATATGTAATCGAGTGTCCGAACTGTGGAGTGATCTACAGAAGTAGACAGTACTGGTATGGAAACCAGGATCCAGTGGAAACTGTGGTGAGGACGGAGATCCAGCACATCTGGCCTGGGGTAAGATCTGTGCTCAGTGAGCCAGGAGGGGGGTGGGCAGGTTTTAAAAGCAGTAGTTTGGAAGAGTTAAAAAGTCCTTCTCTTCTGTGATTCTCCATCTTTGTACCTTTTTTCTGCTTTTTAGTCTGATGGCTTTTTGAAAGACAACAACAATGCTGCTCAAAGGCTGTTGGATGGAGTCAAATACATTTCTCAGTCTGTGTCTGAACTCAGCGTCAAACCGGCCAAAGCGGTCACCTCCTGGCTGACCGACCAGATCGCTCCCTCCTACTGGAAACCCAACTCTCTGATCTTGGTAAGCAGATATAAATGATTACTGTGGCTTTTCTTTAAGAACACATGGTATAAACTTACAGGAATAAGTAAAATGTATTAGCTCCCCTTTATTTGTTTTATACTTATTTATTTGCTTTATATTTGCAAGAACTGCCATAAATGTGGGGAAGAGTTTCAGCCCAATGACACAAAGCACCACTGCCGTGCCTGCGGAGAGGGTTTCTGCGACGCCTGCTCCTCCAAAACCCGGCCGGTCCCGGAGAGGGGCTGGGGGCTGGCGCCGGTCCGCGTCTGCGATGCCTGCTTTCAAAACAGAGGGATCTCAACTGGTAAGAAATAATAGACCCTCCAACATGGACTGTATAACAAACTGATTTAATGATATTTAAATGCGATAAAAAGGTGTAACGGCTTAGAATCTAGTGGTTGTTTGACCCTTTTTTTTTTCTTAACTACATTCCTGGCAGAACTGACATAGTCCAGGGAAATGGTGTCAGAGATGTGCTGTCTATCTTTAAATAACAAGCATTGGAATCAGGCTTTTCGTTATCTGCTGGGTGATTGGCGCCACCTGTAGACTGGGTTTAGTATTTTCCTTGTTTCCAGACACTGCTATTCCTTGGAAAAATCTGCACTGCACCTAAATTACATGTAGATAGACAGATATCTATATAAAACATACATTAAAGTCTAAACTGAGCTCAGTAACTGGACTTCATTATGTTTTATTAATTAATAAACGCACCATTGCACTGCATTACATTGCAAACTACATCATTTACCTACTTAAATTAAGGGTAAATACATATAATTTAAGACATTTTTACTTATTTCTAGATCGTTTTTTCAGTGTTGAACAATGAAGAGGAAATTAGAAATAATTCCCTCAGTTGAGCACTGTTTTTGCAGTTTTTATACATTGTTTATTGTATTTAATGTGACAATAGTTAAACATTTTTATGAATATAGAAACGTATCACAATAAGGATCAATGGTGTGCTAAAGGCGTACCCCTACTCTAAATATATAGGAATTTGACCTTGTGTGGGTGGTAAAAACCCAGCATGAATTCCACTTTGAGTACCAATTACTTTATGTAGTCATGGATATGCTTTTTACCATTTCATTGTTCCATCTGAAACGCAGGAAAAGGTTTAAAGATATCAAAAACTGAAGATCACTATGGAAATAATGCCAACACTGATTGTATGTGAACTTGACAGTCAGTGTGTGAAAAGGAAATCATTGTGCTAACAGACAGCAGTTTTTTAGCATGTTGTGTGATTGGTTATCCTCTGCTTTCAGAGCTACTTGATGCTGCCTTAGAGGAAGAAGGAGGTACCCTGATAGCAAGAAAGGTTGGAGAGGCAGTTCAAAACACTTTGGGTGCTGTAGTTGGTGCCATTGACATACCTTTAGGTAAGTGGTACATCTGCCTTTACTATAAGGTCAAAGGTTTCATCCAATTAAATTAGTGCAAATTTAATTATATTTTTTAAATAGCTACTTATTCAAAAAGGATTTTTTTTTTTCTAGGTTTAGTAAAAGACGCTGCTCGTCCTGCGTACTGGGTCCCAGACCAGGAAATCGAGTTCTGCTGCGAGTGTCGCAGGGAGTTCACTCCACGTCTGTCCATCCACCACTGCCGCGCCTGTGGCAAGGGCGTCTGCGACGACTGCTCCCAGGAGCGCCGCCCAGTGCCGTCCCGTGGCTGGGACCACCCGGTGCGGGTCTGTAATGGCTGTGTCCAGAAATCTGGGGAACTCTAGCAGGACACCTAGCTGGACTGATTAAATGGCACAAGACCTCCCAAGAACACTAGAGGCTAGAACCTCATACCGTCCTTGAAGCTGCAGGAAAACAAACCAGTCTAACACTTTGATCGGTTTCATCAGACTGACTTCTATATGCCTAAAATTCACACAGTGAATACCTGTTAAAATAGACTTGACTTGAATATTAGGATGGGGGAAACGATGCTAGCTTCCAGCAGAATTCAGGCTGCTCTTATTGTAGCTCACTAGTAACCCCCCATCACTGTAGATTTAGGCTCCTCAACCCTTTGACAATCACGTCCTGTATGACATTCTCATACTTTTAGCACCTTTTAGTGTAGTTTGGGGCCATTTGTTTATAGAATTTAAGCAAAACTTAAACTATAGTTGCCATATGCCTGCAAAAAAGTTCTTCCAGCTCCTCGAAGTTTCCCGTTACCCTTATGCCAGCTTTTCTGCCTCCTTCATGGCTGACGGGTAATTCTGTTGCACCAAGATGCATTCCAAACATTAAAACCTAATAGCTATATAAAATATATTATAAATAACTGTATTATTCAGTGGTATACACTCAAGTGGCCCTTTACACTTTTAAAAGAAAGATATAAAAACATATACATGAAAAAGTCTTACTAGAATGGTGACATTTTTAAATGGACTCCTTTTTATCTTAAAAACTAGAATATAAACACAGGGTTTAACCAGTAAATAAAACCTATTTGAGGCTGGCTCCTCAAACTGAGAGACATGGGAGCTTTTAGGGAGCAGTGTTTGCATGTGTTGCAGATGGAATAATTCAATGAACAATTCTGTCTTAATGTTTTTTTGGTTTTTCACAGGATATCTGAGAATTGAGTTTTAAATGTATGGAATGAGACATGACTGTATGGAAACTGGTTTGGTCATTAAGTCATCGGGTAAATTACAGACTTTATGACTTGAGTCAGTTCTTCTCTATCATCAGGTGATGTGACATGGAACCAGTCATCGACTTGTGTTCATGTAGTTCTCATTTATTATGTATTAAAATGGCAGAAACACTTCTCATTTAGAAGAACTGGTGGTCATGTTTATATGTCCATTGAAGCAGGTTCATCACTCTTAATAATCAGATGAGCTGAAAAATCTTTACAGAAAGCACTTGAAGAACTTCTTTATTTTGTAAAACAAAAACGATCCCCTGAGGTTTAAAGGTCACCTATATGGTCTTTCTGGTCCAGGTGCTTCGAAGGAAGTTGGAACATGTATTATATTTTTTTTTGTCCTGAAAAATCTAAACATTCTAAAAGACACTGACATTAGAATTTATAAGGATGTAAAAGTTATTATTATACAATCATCAAACCTTTACTTCGAACTAAGAAAATCAAAACATTTTATTTATTTTCTATTTTATGTAGAACTTAAGATTTTTGTCACCATGTAAACACAAATTTTGAAACAATTTACTTTGGCCTATTGTAACATACCAACACCAAGTAGCAGATAAGTTTTAAATTCTTTAAAAAATATAATCAGAAAAGTGGGACATGCAAACTCTATTTTGATAAACCTGAATGAAATAATCTGGAGTGGACGAGAGGTAAACCTGGAGAGGCGAAGAAGATACAGAAAACCTATTTCATTGTCTACTCAATAAATATAGCCTTTATGTAGGAATTACTTCAAAATTGGTTTGCTGTTAAAAATAATCCCTATAAAAGTAGCTATGGTCAGATTAGACAAAACTATTTTTTTTCTTCTATGTCCAAAGTACTATGTGTTGAGAAACCAACTAGTACAAAAACTGTTAGAGGCTGTAAAAGGTTGAATTAACAGGACAACAAACCTGAAAATGGTACAAGCGGTTTAGATCTAAAAAAATGGCGCAGTCAAAGTCTAAATCCAGAATTCAGACACTGATGCTCACAGATTGTCTCCTTCCAACTAATAATGAACTTGAGCTATTGTGCAAAAGACATGCAGCCCACCTTTCAGGTTTATATTTGATTTAATAAAAATTATAACCAGGCATCCTTCCACTTCATTCATACCCCACTCTGTGTTGGTTAATCTCCTAAAACTCCAAATAAAGATGTGAGATGTTTGTAGAAAGGTTAAGGGGAAAATCCTCTGTTTTAAAGAAAACCTGTCAGAAAAAATAATTCTCATTTTTGGAAGTTCTGACTTTACACTGCCTGTTGGGTGCTCCAGTCGAAGGTAGGCTGCACCAGTTCTCTTTAGTGTCCGTTTGAGAGTTTTGCATATAATCCACCTAAACCAAGCTCTGCTCAAGAAACAGGACGGCTGCGGTCGTCGTAGTTTCGTCTGAACCCAGAACTACATTCAGTCTTCAGTCGGGCCGAAAGATTTTCATCTGATTTAAAGCGGCGGCTGCCCTTCATCCTGGTAATCAGTGTTGTATGGGAAGTAGTACAGGTCATGTTTAACCGCCATGAGCAGACCAGGGAGTCCTCTGCTGCCGCCCAAATTAGAGGAGAAGACGACGCTCGGGATCATGTCGTTTGCCGCTGGATGAGGGGATGGGATGGTCCTCAACAGGTGACCATCCTTCAGACTCCACAACCTGGTATAACAGTCTTGGCCCACTGTGTGAATATGAATTCAATCATTTGACTAGTTTACTTTGTTGATTGATATTCTAAAACCAGCAATATATTATTTTCAGCTACCTGCTAACAGAAGGCCTTCATGTTCATTGACATGAATTGGGAGGTAGGCGTGCTCGTTGTAATGCCCTTTGTACTCCAGCACTGGCTTGGTAACCCGTACATCCCACATCTTAATCTGCAGAGAGAATCCAATCGCTAAAAATTAAAATCCTGCGTTTTATTAGAAAAAAAAAACAATTTTGTAAGAACTGCTCTGACCTGACCCAACATGTCTGCAGCCATGAGGTAGTTCTCATCCTGCAGGACGCGTACAGAGGTGATGGCCGATTCATGGTGGAAGCGTTTGGCCTTCCAGCTGTGATCCCTGCGGCCACGCTGCCGGAGGTCTATGCTGAAAATCTCCCCAGATCTGCAACCATTGAACAGGACTGGAACCTGGTTAAAAAAATAAAAATCCATTTACTCCTGCTTGGGTTGTTCTTGCATGAGGACGGGAGACAAAAAACTAATTATAATTAGCTAAGATATGCAGTATTAGACAAAAACTCCTACCCTGTGAGCAAAATGCTGCGCTAAGACATCAGTGCCCACACCGTACGTCTGTGTTCGTCCCGTCTCTGCATCCTTGAGAATGACCCGTCGAGACAGACCTGCAAACGCGCACATGGGCAGAAATAGTCACAAATAGTTGCATATGTAGTTATACCCCTGGGCTAATACATGTTGAGTTATGAAAGAAGATGGTGTATTCCACAGGGATTTATGTCAAAGTTGAACACAACCTGGTGAATAATTGTTAGGTGGAAGGAAAATTAAACAACGGCTCGACATTTGTTTACAGGTGCTGGTCATAAAATTAGAATATCATGAAAAAGTAGATTGATTTCAGTAATTCCATTTAAAAAGTGAAACTTGTATATTATATTCATACATTACATACAAACTCATATATTTCAGATGTTTATTTTGTTTAATTGTGATGATTACAAATGACAACAAATGAAAATCTCAAATTCATCATATCAGAAAATTAGAATATTACTGAAGACCAATAAAAACAAAGGATTTATAGAAATGTTGGCCAACTGAAAAGTATGAACATGAAAAGTATGAACATGTACAGCACTCAGTATTTAGTTGGGCCTCCTTTGGCCTGTATTACTGCAGCAATGCGGCGTGGCATGGAGTCGATCAGTCTGTGGCACTGCTCAGGTGTTATGATAGCCCAGGTTGCTCTAATAGTGGCTTTTAGCTCTTCTGAATTGTTGGGTCTGGTGTATTGCATCTTCTTCTTCACAATACCCCATAGATTTTCTATGGGGTTAAGGTCAGGAGAGTTTGCTGGCCAATTAAGAACAGGGATACCATGGTCCTTCAACCAGGTACTGGTAGCTTTGGCACTGTGTGCAGGTGCCAAGTCCTGTTGGAAAATGAAATCTGCATCTCCAAAAAGTTGGTCAGCTGCAGGAAGCATGAAGTGCTCTAAAACTTCCTGGTATGTGGCTGCGTTGACCCTGGACCTCAGAAAACACAATGGACCAACACCAGCAGATGACATGGCACCCCAAACCATCACTGACTGTGGAAACTTTACACTGGACTTCAAGCAACGTGGATGAAGTGCCTCTCTTCTTTTCCTCCAGACTCTGGGACCTTGATTTCCAAAGGAAATGCAAAATTTACTTTCATCAGAGAACATGACTTTGGACCACTCACCAGCAGTCCAGTCCTGTTTCTCTTTAGCCCAGGCAAGACGCTTCTGACGCTGTCTGTGGTTCAAGAGTGGCTTGACACAAGGAATGCGACAGCAGAAACCCATGTCTTTCATACGTCTGTGTGTGGTGGTTCTTGAAGCACTCACTCCAGCTGCAGTCCACTCTTTGTGAATCTCCCCCACATTTTTGAATGGGTTTTGTTTCACAATCCTCTCCAGGGTGCGGTTATCTCTCTTGCTTGTACACTTTTTTCGACCACATCTTTTCCTTCCCTTCGCCTCTCTATTAATGTGCTTGGACACTGAGCTCTGTGAACAGCCAGCCTCTTTAGCGATGACCTTTTGTGTCTTGCCCTCCTTGTGCAAGGTGTCGATGGTCATCTTTTGGACAACTGTCAAGTCAGCAGTCTTCCCCATGATTGTGTAGCCTATAGAACTAGACTGAAAGACCATTTAAAGGCTTTTGCAGGTGGTTTGAGTTAATTAGCTGATTAGAGTGTGGCACCAGGGGCCATCAATTTTGAACCTTTTCACAATATTCTAATTTTCTGATATGATGAATTTGAGATTTTCATTTGTTGTCATTTGTAATCATCAAAATTAAACAAAATAAACATCTGAAATATATGAGTTTGTATGTAATGTATGAATATAATATACAAGTTTCACTTTTTAAATGGAATTACTGAAATCAATCTACTTTTTCATGATATTCTAATTTTATGACCAGCACCTGTATAGCTCTCTTAACTTTGATATTGATGAATATAATTCAAATGCCAACACTGTTCAAAGGTCACCCTAAAACTGTGCTATTTAAACTTAGTATAAGATCAGGTTTGCTGTGAAGGTTCAGAGGCTGGTCAGAGAACATTAATGAACAAGCAGGATTTGGAAGACAAAACCAGGGATTGGCTCAGGCTCATGGTCACTCTGGAGGAGCTGTAGAGATCCACAGCCAAGACTTCATTTCACACGCAGTGCTGGTTAAAGTTTAAAGCTGGTGGTCGGGTCAGATTAGATGTAAGGGAAAAAATAAAAAACCACAAAGCATGTCTTAACCAAACAAAGTGGAGGCAGCGTCATGCTATGGGGATCTTTTTTTTGTGTGTTTGATTTTCCCAGGAGAGAAAAGGAAACTGGTCAGAAATGAGTTTGGGAAATTGATGGATCAAACTGAAGGGTAATCCTGGAAGAAAAGCTGGTTAAGGCTGCAAATATTAGAGCTTTTTTTTATGAGAAAAGAAATGGTGATAAACTATGGGTCATTTTATATCATTCTCACAACTTCATTCTACTTTTTGTTGGATGAGTGACTTAGACTTCTCTAGAAAGAGTCCTATCACCTAGCTAACCTTTGAACTAAACCATTTTTAACCCTACACAGTTTCAACAGTAAGCTGATTATTTCTGCTGCTAGTGGGAAAATAGTGACTTTTGAACAGACCAGTGCTGAAGGTCTTATCAAACTGTGGGTTGAGGCACCAAGCGCAGGACCAGGCTGTAGATATCTTGAAGCTACACAACATCCCTGGCTGATCTGGGAAATAAAAGCCAGAAGAAAAGAAAGGTCATAATCCATCTTTGAAGTTAAGTATGGATTTAAGCTTGAGCAGAACAGAATATATAAATAAAAAGCTCATTTCAGTTTAAAGCAACAAATTAATCCCCACATGAGAAAAATCTGGCAAATTTTACCGCCTGGTTAAATCATTTCAGTAGAGTTTTGAGAAACGCATCTAACAAACCTTGATTAGAGTTGCTGAAGAGCGAAGCAGGAAGTAAACTAACGCAGCCCGGCGTGTCGGCCGCTCCCACCAGACACAGGCTAGCGGTCACCTCTCAGTTAAGGAAAAATGAAACGTGTTGTTAAAAATTTTTCTGCCATACTGCCTGATGTCGTTATGCCTTAAAATCATATTTTGTTCTTTGATTTGAATGCAGAATAATCACATCATAAAACCAGGAAGCTGAAGGATACAGAACATGAGAGTCAGGGTAGTTCACAGAAGCCCAACAGATGGAATTCACCTGAAAAACATTCAACCACAGCAGACTTAGTGGATATCCAGCAGATATGCAGTGATATTCTGTTAAGAAAGTTTAGTAGCAGAAAACTACACAGAAATGATAAATGAATCTTTTAACAGTAGAATCAGACAGTTTAGAGTGTTTCTCAGGAGCATCCTTTCACCTTTCGGTTGGTGAAGTAGAGGTTATCGCACATTTCCACGGACAGAGAGCCCCGGCTGCCGCTGCTAAAATTCATGATGCCGTATTTGCAGCCGCCGTGTGAGACGTCATTGACGGTGAACACTCGTTCAGACACAGAATCACCCTGAGAAAGATAGAAAGGTAGATAGAAAGTTGTTGTTTTTTTTACTTTCACTTACTTGGTCCAGGACTGAACATCCCAGGAACACAAATCATTCAATATTTTTGCTAAAAACTGAAATGGCAAAATTAATTCTTATCAAACCCTAGATTTTTCACTTTTTCTTGTTTTCTATCATCCCAATTCACCCCATGGGGCACAGCAGGTTTTTAAGCATGGCGAGAGCAAAGGCATATCCATTTAACATATGCTAAACTAGTAAACATCACAAACAAACACACTCCTGCAAATCATTATTTTCTAGAAAACACAAATTGTATATAAAGTGCAGCTCTAATTTCTCAATTCCAGTGATAAAAATGACACAATGACAGCAAATGTCACACAAGTCACAATAGAAAAAAATGAACAAAAACAAAAAACAGCAGGTTCTGCAACAGCTTTTCCCCCGCTGCCATCAGACTGTTAAAATGTTGAAACTCTAATCAAGACACTGCATCACACTCGAAAACATCATATTTTTACCACCAACGTGGCTGATTTTTTCATAATCCCTTTAAATAGATCACAACTCAAAGTTCTGCTGCATTTTGCGCCATATTTATTTATTTGCTCTGCAGCTTTCCATATCAGTGCCTTTTGCTCCGTGACTTTAAACTGGTTTTCCTTTTCTCCTATACTGTTTACATTCTGATCACTGCTGCACTTTATAAATGGAAATGTCCATTTAACTGCGATGCTGCTCATTCACTGCTGAAAAGCTGTATGCATCGAAATTTTGTTATGTATGAAAAAAATACAATAAAAGTTGTTAAAGTCTAAGTGATAGTCTAAGGCATGGCTGTTAAATGCGCTGATGAATCAGCTGATACAGTAAAAAAGTGCTATTGTCAGTTAAAAAATATCTTCCAGCCAGAATATTGGTCTATTTCTAGTTTTTGACACCTTCCATCACCATTACATTTTAAATTCTCATAGCTGTAGCAGCATTTATATTAATAATGTCTAATTTCCTTATTTCTTATTTTCTGCTCCCCTTGGGTAAAAATAAGACACAAAGGCCTATTTACATACTGATCACCATGGTAAAGACAGGAAAACATGACTTTTAAGTTAGGCATATGTGAGACCATCCCCTCAGGTGAGGAAATGCAGTAAGTAGTTAGTAACATTTTCCTGAACAACTGGAATAGGACTGAAGAGAAGCAAGGGCTTGAACCATATTAAAAATATTTTTATATCGCAGCATATATTCGTCATAATTTCTAGGGGTGTTTGAAGTGTTCTCACCACTATGATCCTGAAGTTGTCGGTGTTTGGGTCGCTGTTGTCTGTGCTCTGGATCTCCAGTTTGTGGCGTCTCATTCCACAAACCTTCACCTCATGGACACGCCTGGTTACCAAAGTAAAGCTAGATTAACACTGCGTTCTGCCATGAAAACTATAAAATCTTCTCTAGGGTTTGAATTCTGATCACTTTTTAATATATATTGGAATGTTTTTGTTTCTTTTAAGGCCGTTTAGAATTTGACAGCTGTATTAGTGGCCAAGAAAGCAGAAGTGATCGGGTTACCTGCAATAGGAGTTCCCAGGTAAAAGTCCAAGATGCCTTTTCTGCAGCAACAAGGAGATGTTCAGCCCAGTTCTTGGGGTTTTCTGTGAAATATAGATGTAAGTGTGGACAGAGGATCCCAAAAAGTCTGTTAATATTGCGATATTGAGTTTGCAAATACAAGTTACTCGTAGGTTGTAGATTTTTCCCACACAGCAGACTCACTTTTCTTGGGTTTTCATCTTCTGCCAGTCTCTTTTGCCTCTGTTTCTCCCTTTCCTTTTCTTGCAGCTGTTCTCTGGTCAGCGGGTTGCAGTTGTTGTGTCCAGGAAGCAGCCGAAAGTAGCGGTTCTTGACAGGGTCAAAGTAGAAACCAGGTAGCTCTTACAGAAAAGAAACAAAGAAGATTTTTTTTTTTAACCACCAACATAGCTTATGACTAAAACATCAAAGCCAAGTGAAATATTCTATAAGGTGCCTCTAGTCATTTTGTCAATAGCATCAATGAGAGCCTAAAGACTACCTAAATAGGTGATTTTTTTTGTTTTTGCTTCTTCGTCCACCATACTTTTTCCCTTCCGTTTGATTTTCCATCAACATGTTAGGATGCTGTAATCCAGGCGTCTCAAACTGGTTCCAGAAAAGGCCGTGTGGCTGCAGGTTTTCTTTCCAACCAAGGAAAAGCACACCAGACTGCAGTCATCTCTTCTTCTTCTTCTTCTAGTGAGGTTTTATAGCGGTTGGCAAACTAGTTAAAAGTGCATTACCGCCACCAACTGATAAATGAGTTAAGCAAGGAAACAGGAAACGACTCATCCCCAGAAAAAGAAAAACTGAACCCAACATAATAAGTACTAAATCATATTTGCTCTAATAATTTCTAATTTATCTTTAGATTATTGTCAGTCTGCCAGTTTCTGATGGTCCTACTGGTTTTCCCATCATACTTTCCACCATTTCGCAGTTCAAATCTTTAACTTTAATATACTTTTCTGCAGCTTTCACTATTATTTAGATTTTTTCGTTTTTTCTTGTCGTCTGAGCACTACAATTGATCACTTCAACCATGAAAAGAACAAAATCTTTCTTCTTTACAATCAATGAATCTTCAATTTTAGGACGCTGTTCCAGAGGTTTTGAATTTGCCGTGTGCTATACGGTTGGTTTGGGTCTTTCTGATTGGGATGTGATCCTTTTTGCAGCTTCAGCATTTGTTATTCTGAGCTCAAATTTCTTTTTTTTTTTTCTTTTTTTTTTTCCTCAGACCTTTAACTCACTTCCAACCTGCGATATGCAGTAGTATTTTCTCCCCCACAGTTACAGCATTTGATTTTAGCTTCTTTCCCCCATTTTCCATATTCATGCTCTTCAGCACACTTTCCACATCGCTGTTTTCCTTTGCATACTGCTGCTATATGCCAAAATTTTTTGGCATTTGAAGCATCTCAAAGGTGGAGGGTTGTACATTTTTACATTGTAGCTCATGTAGCTAATTAAAACTTTGCTGGCTAACTGCTCTTCTTCAAATTTAATCAACCCAGATAAGCTGTTACACCTTTCTCCATTTCTTGTAACTTTTAACCTTTTACTTTTGCATCACTTATGTTTTCTAGAATCTCTTTTTCCAGAAACTTTTAGAGGAACTCCTCCAATGACTCCCCTGCTGATCTTTTTGTTCTCCACCAAGCTGCACTTAACTCTTATCCCCTCAATTATGCTGATCCGTATTGCTTTGCTGCAGTCATCTCATCAAGTAAGTCCAATCTTAACATGATTACTTGATGAGATGAATGAAGTCTGGTGTGCTATTGCTTGGTTTGAAAGAAAACCTGCAGCCACACGGCCCTTTCTGGAACCAGTTTGAGACCCACTGCGAAATTCATGCATGCCCAAAGTCAGTCCTTGAAGGCTGCTGTACTGTACTTTAGCTGAACTGCAATCATCAGAATCAGATGTACTGAAGCAGGACAACCTCTAAAACCTGCAGGAAAGCGCCCCCCAAGGGCCTATTGTAATCTGTGAAAAAACTTCTTCAGAAATACTTTTTTTAGAATCTCTGCCAGCAGTTTCCAGCCAACTGAACCCAGCTTGAAGGCCCTTTAAAGGTCCAGGAAGCATTTAGATACTTTTAAGTTGCACAGAGGGTCCCAAATTAGCCTGCAATACTTAATAGTATAATTATCTGAATTTTAAGAGATTTATGTGTTCTAAATATAGATTTATGTAAAAATGAAATTAAATAAACACCTGAGGGTTATTAAGTCTTTTAAATATGACTTTTACTTTTAGAATGTATTTACTGAAATTATTTGATGAAGCTATGGTGTTCTAATCAAATATAATGTCGGTCTATTACAATCCTGGTGCCATTTGCTTGTGGATCCATTGCTGATGTGCAGATAGAGGGTGTAATCATTATAATACCTGGTACTCCACTGTTAGATTTAGAAGAGGAAGAAGAGGCTGGGGGTGATGAAGCTGAGGCAGGTTGGTTATCGTTTTCCATCTGAGATAATCTGTGAGAAGGCCCAGCATCATTATAGCCATGCCTGTCAATGGGAGACTGTAATCAGAGCCAATTCTAGAGGCCACATGTAGCAATAAAAACGTGTTTTTCAGCCATATATTGTGTTCGTTGACATGACTACCACTGCTCGTTGCTTGATGATCTGCTTCGGTTCGCTCTGTACCGTCTGTAACCACGATCCTGTCGCCATTTCCATTTCTTCTTTTTATTCGACTCCATTCAGATCATTCCACGTTGACCATGTTTCACTTCTGGGTGACGAACAGTGTGTTTACCTGTTAGCTTAGCAAAGTTAGCTTCAGTTCTCAGGAGAGTCGTTTAATTTGAGTTTTAAGGCCCCAAGATGTTTAACATAAAGCCTTAAAATATATTCTAATACAGTTGAAGAAAAACAAGCCTGTTTGTGTTAGTGTGCTAAGTTTACATTAAGTTAATTCGATTGAACTCGGAGGCAAATAGTGATGAGGCGTTTAATGTAGCAGGGAAATCGCGTAATTTTTTCCAAATATTTAAATAACGCTTACGTTTGCAATAATGATCTCCAGAAAACTGCTGTAATAATCTTCAAAGAAATGGAAATTAATAGTGAAATAAAAGAAAATAACTGTATTACTCTTTCCTGGCTTTCGCTACTACTTTTGTTTTGTGAATAACTCCAATGACCGAGAAGTAAGTCAATGCAACATTAGGTTTCCGCCTCTCGCTCATTGGCTAATTTCTCACAAAGAGGTGCTGACGTTTCAGACACTCATTGGTTATTTTGTCTGTTGTGTTTGTTGCCTTAAATTGAACAATAGAGAAATCTGTCAGGAAGGAACGTCGATTCAAGAGTAGTAAAATTAGACGCTTTGCAGATTTATCATTTGATAGTCGACAATTTTTTTTTTATCAAATACAATTAAGATAAAAAAGGTGTATTTGGGAAATTCTATTTGAAACGATCAAAAAACCAAACTTGATTCAATGTCTCTGATTTTATTATTATTATTTGATCTGTTTTTTAGTCTAAGAAAACCTTCCAATGTGAAAAATTCTGACCATTGATCATGCATTCTTAACCACACTTCCAAATCAGTTATATAGAAACCTCTTTAGAATGTTTTTGGAGCAAAACGAGTTTTTATGGTTTTTACTTTAAGGCCCATATATTTGCATTGGGTTTTTAATCTTCACTGTTTAAATTCAGCTTATGTATTCCATGGTAATTCATTGTATTTGTGTAAGATTCAAAATATATTGAGAGTAACACCAAACACAGACACTATCCCTAAATTATTGCTTTTTGCTCTGGCAGAACCACTGAATGCATTGGAATAAACAATGAAGCATAGCTCACAATGTTGATTTCTCTCTTTTATAAGATATTGTGTCCGCACAGATGGAGATAAATCAACTTTATTTAAAGGGATGAGTCCCGTGTGGGGTCTGTTGACATACTTCTGTGAAGCCACGCCCAATGTCTTCATGCTGGGGTTGCATTGGTGCACAGCACTGTCGACAGAACAGCATTGGCTGTTGTATTTCTCTCTCTCTTTTTTTGTTTTTTTTTTTGTTTTGTTTTTTCATAAGGGTCCCGAACTGCACATAGGTTTGGTATATTACATTTCAGTCTTGCAGGAAAGAAGATGGCGGCTGTCATTCATAATCCATTAAAATCGTAAGTAGGATTTATTTATGTATTTTTCAGAACATTAATATTGTAAGACTAATGATAGCGATGATTATATGTTGATCTCATATACAGATCAGGTTTCGCGCGCACTTGAATCGCTTCAGATTTCTCAGTCCCTTCCCATGGCTCTGCAGCCTTAGTAATGTAAAAGCATGTATATTATGCAAACACACGCACCTCCTAACTGCGATCACAATCGTGCATTTGGAAGGAAGTTGACCTCTTAATAAAGGAACAACTTTACATTGTGGAAACCATGTAAGTAAAATCTCTATCTTCATCCAATAAAGCAAAACTTGGAAGCTGCAAACTGACTTATCTTTTAACCGGTTAAAAGGGGTGGAACCTTCCCTCCCTTTGCTTAGTTTGACAAAAATAAATTAAAGTGAACAATTTTTATGTCAAACCTAGAGAAAAACAAAGTGCACAAAAATAAACACTCCAAATATGTGGAACATTTCATTGCTTGTCTTGTTCACTGCAATTACTTTAATCTTCCTCTGTTTAACTCATTCGTTGTTTTTATGTGGAGTTTTGCTTTAGGGATTGAAGCTTGAATTTTTATTTATTTATTTTTTCCAGCAGTGATAGGCATTAAGAACTGATCCTAACCATAAAGAAGGTTAAAGCATTATGATTCCTCCACCACCATGCCTCATTGTTAGTTTGCTGTTTTTATTTTTGTTGATGTGCAGTATTTATATATTTATCTTTTATTTTGACTTACCATTTAAAATTATGGGCTATTTTATACACATTATAAACATCTACACATTTTAAGAAACAGTTTTATTATCGATTTAGTTTATGGGGAATTGCTAATCCCCCTTAAACTGTCAGCCACTTTGCAGCCTTGTCCTTTTATCCATTTCAGAGTGGTTTCCATGCTTTTGCACTTTGTTACTGTGTTTTATGGTACATCTATTACTTAGAAAATGCATCTTCATCTTTCATTGCTGATGCTTACATTTGCTGATTTTTGTCAGAATCTGATTTAGAATCAGAGGAGGAAGCTATAGGATTAGGTGGATGGCAAGAAAGTCTTCAAAATAAAATACTTGTTGCTAAAACTCAGTCATAAATTATATATATAAAAGAAGAGTTTGATTTATGTAATACTTAACTCCATTATTAGCTTATTGTCTTTGGAGAAATGTATGTATAATTTCTTATTAGAAGCAAAACTTTTGGTAGAGTAAGAAGTAATTTTATATTTAAATCATTCTGGGGTATAAATAACTTCATATATAATAGGAGCAACAGAAAGAAAAACCCTTCTTTTCCAGTTTCACACTCATTTTAGCACAGCAGCCCAGTTAGCTGTCCAGGAAATATTTTGAGTAATAGTTATGTTAGAACTTTGTCTGTAACAGTATTTTCTGTAATTTTCCAACATTGATGGATGTTGGATCATAACTGATGGACACAATAATGAATGCTCCAGCAGGGATAACTCTCTGCATAAACTCACCGCATCATGTAGTAAAAAGCTATGGTTAGGCAGTAAAAATAAATAATTATTTTACCTGCTAAGATAAAGTCACTTTCCAAATTCCATTCTATATTTTAATATAGACTTAGACCCATATTTATTCATCCCTTGGAATTACTCCTTCAGGGAAATTCTGTTTCTAGTAGCTTAAATAGAGTAAAAAGGGTTAAAGCAAGATGCCATTAAAGATAAAAATACTACAGACAATATAAAAAGAGTGTATATAGTACAAAAAGCATAAGAAAATAAAAAAATTGTAATGTCCTGGAATATGTTTCCCTTAGATATAAAAGTATCTGCACAGTAGAGAGCCAAGTGAAGACTACAAACGAGTTGACTTGGGTTATTGCACTTGTGCTGCAGAGATGTACTGACCTTATAAATAAATAAAAAATGACACAGGCTACACAGTAATCGAATGATGAGGATTTGATAGCTTCACTTTCCATGATGCGTATATTTTAGCTTTACATTTTTTCACTGAAAAAAAATTCTCCAATCCTGCGATTGTCAAGGTTAAAAAACTGCTTTGAGCGGTTGTATTCCATCAAAACAGATTAAGACTGACAGTTTTAGGCTTTTGTGTATGTGGAGCAGCAGATTAGGGGCATCCCAGTATTTTTCCTGGGTCCATCTGTTAGGAGAAAGGTACATTGTAAGAAAAGGAGAGTGAATTGGGGGTGCGAGGGAGATCTGTCTGCCTTTCACAAGAACTAGACCCACTTATAATTCCTGTAAAACAGAGAAAACACCATGCATACATGTATGTCAACATATTACAAGCTGAGCATGGAATATTTCTGCTGAAATAAGGGTGATCTTCTCTACTTTGGTTCAAAACAGTCTATCATGGTGCTTGTCTGTCTGCAGGAGGCTTGACTAATCATAAACTACCCTCTTCTTCTCTGAGAAATGAATTTAAAGCGTCAGATCCTGGCAGTAAATACGTCTAGCCTTCACAGTCATGTTTAGCCATGCACGTTGCCTTGGGTAATAAAAAAAAAAAAAAATCAAGGATCTACAAAGACACCTTTGTGATGGAAACGTGGAGAGCCAGTGTGCGGATGGGGTTTTAATGAGCAGCCGATATGAAAAGTATTTAAATAAGTGCTGTGATTCATATGTAGAGGTGTAAATATTACATGACCCGCTGCCTTCCATGGTAAGGTCTGGATTTATAATGTAACAAAGATCTCAGGTGGGAAAGAGATTTGTTGGTGTTTTCAACAGAATTGAAAAAATGTGGGCTTGGGGGGGTTAGAGCAGAGGGTTTATGTATTAAGGGTTGTATTTGTTGTATACATGTGTTGCCCCTCCCCCTCCCGGTTTGTAGAAGGGGGAGTGAGTGATGGAGGTGGTGTGTGTGTGTGTGTGTGTGTGTGAGTGGCTACATTTAGGGTTTCTTGCATACATTTATGATGCACCCTGACTACAGGAGCAAATCCTGGCTTTTGTTTATCCAGACTATAAAAGAAGGGTTACTGGTGACCAGAAATAAAATTGCAAGAACAAATCTGTTTTTCTTATTCCGCACACAGAAACTCTACCTTTATTCATCACTCATGATTCTCTACAAGTTTAATATAGTCTGTAGAAACATTTTTTTTACATATTAAACAAAATCATCTCAATCTAGGCCCCAACCCCCTCATCTGCAACAGCATTTTCTCTGTAGCTCCTCTACATATCAGCCTTTCTTCTTTCGTCTCCACTTTTCCTTTGCTCTCATTTCTAATCGCTCTGTGCATGTGTGTGTGTGTGCTATAAACAAACTGAGTGCAATTACGCATAGACATATATGTGCGTTTGAGGAGGAATGAGCGTGGCGTGGTTTGAAAGGGAACACGTGTGCCCCAGGTCATGCCAGACTCTGTCCACCCCCACCTTATCAGCTTGTCCTGCTCCTTCACTTTCTCACATCCCCCACTCTGCTTCACCCACTGTTCAGATTCTAAAAAAAACTGCCATATTTACCCTCACACAAATATGAACTATATTCCATAGGGTTTTATATTATGTCTGCACACAATTTGTACCTTTAAGAGTTTGAAGATTCTTCTCGAAGAATATTTGTGAGGTCAGATGCTGAAAAACAATCTTGGCTCAAGTGTTCTTTTATATTCAAACGGTTTAGTTTTTGCGATCAGGAACCTGTGCAAACCAGTCAAGTTATTCTATTCAAACTCCCAAATCTATTGCCCCATTTGCACTACCCCTCTGAAACCAATCCGTGCTGAGTTTGGACGGAGCTTGGATCAGTTAACCATGCCGAGCTTGGTACCTTACGACTATTTAAAACATCAGGCTAGCACGGTTCCTCGCCTCCTAGTGACGATCTACGGTACTACTGCTCCCTTGGATTGAAGGAGGGAATCAAGCAAATCAAAGCGGCAGTGGCCGTAACATTCAGGAAGTTGTGTTTGGTTATAATTGTGATATTTTTTTGTTTGCGGACAGTCAGGCGAAGAAGGCAGCCTTTGGTAGCACCAAGCTCTTTGAAGCCATTTTTAAAAATGTAGTGCTGAGAAGATTTCGATTTTTGCTTACAGTTCTTCTTCTGTTTTGTGGCGCTTAGAGAGCAACTTACTGATGTGCATTACCGCCAATAGATGACGTGGCCTGGTCATGCGCTCTTTGGTTATCAGAGAACCCGGCGACAAATGAACCGTGCCCTGAACTAGTACTAGATTTAGCGCTGTTCGGTTGTTTCTGGCACGTTCCGCTTCCATTCACACTCAACAGTTGTCATGGTTACCATGCTCGGACCGCTCTCAGCACGGTTTCAAAAGGGTAGTGTATATGGGGCTTATGTCACTGTATGTGCGATGATGGAACAGGAGGGAACCACCACCTCACTGTTCCCATGACGATAAAAGGATTATTTTCTCCTAAATGTTTTGGTAGATTGAAACTTTAACAGTTCCTTTCATTGAAGGACTCAGGTAACCTGCAGTAGCAATATTGATATGTGCAGAACTGAGTCGAGTTCTACGTTATCAATCTGGGATTGCTGCCATTCAGTCTGTCCGTGAAAAGGAGAGACGTTTAGTACAATACTTCGAGCTGATTGGGTGACATGCCAGCGAGTACCTGCCTTCTATAACACGCTTTCAAATTCCAATTGTAGCAGCGAATCGTGACATTTCAGATGTGTGCAAGGAATAACAGGTGGGATGTGTTTTGTTTTTTTTCCAACGGCACTAGTAGCTCGTTTTTGCGACAGTAGACTGACAGGAAAGGAGGTGTGAGAGAGGGGGGGGCATGCTGCAAAGGACCACAGGCAGGATTCAAATCAGGGTCAGCAGCGTTGAGGACTAAGGCCTCCATCGGTTGTGCATGCTAACCACTGCGACACCTGCAATGTATACCATCGTTGGATGTTTACGGTGAAGTCATCATGTCATGGTGCAATGATTTTTGCACAATTTGGAAGACAAACCAGCACATAATCATTTTAAGCAACACAAGTTTTTAGAATATCGTCAACCCTCTAATTAATAAAAGAAATGAGTGTGTCCTCTAGCATAGCCATGTTTTTAATGCCCCAGCAAGGCCCTTCTGACTGTCATCATTCCTGCATGTCCCTCCCCAAAAACACTGCTGACGTGTCATTGGTCCGACTCGCTGGTTGTTACGAGATGGACGTATTAGCTGAAGTCTTTTAAGATGGATTTGTTGTAAGACTGAAAACTCAGATCTCGTGACAATCAAGCTCGCAGCACAAGGTTATGGCCTGAGGTAACCTACTGAAAAACATCTCCACACCATAATCTCTTTGGCCAAGTACTGGAAACTGTCAAATCCATTTTTGCCCACTGGTTTGTCCCATTTAACCAGTTTAGAGAAGATGCGTTCTATCTTCTAGAGTCAAGTGCTGGCAGGAAATTTGGGTAACAAGGTTCCACACCTTGATTCACTGGGAATGAATCATTTTTTCATGCTTGTGGAAGCACACAACCAAGGTGCTGTGTTGCATACACCTCTGGCCATGGAAAGGATGGCCAGAGTTTGAGCATGTGTCTCTGCAGGCTGTATCAGACAGCTACGTCTACATACAGTGTTGTAAGTGCTTGTGCAGTTTTAGCGCTCAGGCAGTCGTCTGAAGGCATTCTGTGGGGAAAGAAGGCAGCAACTGTTTGCTGCATGCTTGACTGACTGGTTAATGAATGGGAATGAATTAATAGATTTTTTGAGCCCTAACTGATCTGAAAAAAGGCAACAGATTTTTATCTGTTCCATGAATTTTTGGTTTGTTTCAGAGTTTGTCCAAAGTGTACAAACCATTTTGACATTGATCTTTTTTTTTTATTGAAAATGAAACCGTGTGAACTGATGACAATACAGTTTTAACACATGATATGCAGATTAATATAAATATAAATCTGAAACCAAATCAGCAATTATGATAATTGATAATTGTTCAAAGCCTTAAAATGATACTGTATTAAACCTCCATAACCTTTGGAGTTGTGTCTGATCGGGTGTTTTTTTTAGGATTGTTCAGTATTTGTTTACTAAAGGGTGTTATTTATTACTGGTGATTTACAGCAGCGATGATAAGAGCTAATTTAGAGTTAAATCATCTGCTGCTTTTTTTTCTGGATGTGATTGTACTGTTCTAACACACCGTCCAAATCCTACTGCTAGACCAGATTTACCTGTATATTCATGGAAAGGTTGTCTATAAAAGATTTAAAGCTTGAAATATTCAACTAGCTGGTTTGTGGAAATCTGGTTAGTTTAAAAAAAAGCAAGTGTGAACAGTTTTTCTCTCATATCCCTCTTAAATGTAAATTAACATTTTTTTTCCCCAACCAGTAGTTGTCAGATTTCCATTTATCTTCCTCTCTAAAAGATCGTACCTGGATCTCTTAAATGCAAAGTGAGCCAAAGTTGGTGAAAGGATGCTCAGTCCATCATAGGGACATTGTATGGTAATGGTAAGACACACAGATGACCCCTGTGTAAGTATGGAAGCATTCTTTCACGCACAAAAAAATGCACAACTGCAAATTCAATTAGTGTCCAGGAAGTTGTTGTCTAGGAGGAATGTTCCTTCTCTGACGTGACAAACTATGCTTACATAACGTCTAAAGCTTTAACCAGCCTCATGTTTAACAAATGGGCACAAAACAGAAGCATCAAGTCTCTAAATCTAGTTTTAAAGGGAAGTATCTGAACATACAGAACACATACAAATGTGTACAAATACCCGGTGTTTATGGAAAGCTGTTTTGGTCATTAATCACATGCTTTCCAGAACCACCTGGGAGATAATTACCCTTAAAAGTTCGGAGTTTTTTTATTTTTATTATTGCTACTAAGTGATAAAAAAAAAAATTGCAGCATGCATTTAAAAGATGGTTTTCATGAAGTGTTAAATTAAACCGCTCGTCTTGCTTGTTTTACAAGTGCAAAACCAATGCAAATAAGTAATGCATAGGTAACCCAGGGTCTTATAGGATTACTGAGCATATTAGCTTTCCATACACTCCCAAAAGTATTGAAAACAACCAACAAACTTACAAAGCAGCTCAGTTATGTAAGAATTTATGGTGCTGCTCGGCCGAGATACATACAGCCAGCATGATGAAAAAGATGGAAACAAAAAATGAGGAGAAGAAACGCCGGCAAGTCCACACACACATTTCAGTTCAGGGAACAAATAGTGACAGCAGAGATAATGTTTTACCTCTGGGAATGTGAGTAATGTGACAGGAAGTCCCTTCTAAAGATGTGCATTGTGACTGCTGCTCTCATTCTGTATAAACAGTACGTATAAACAACACCCGTTGCATTCCTCCATTCTGTAGGTCTGTTTGACCCAAAACTTCTGTCAACAAGCTTCACATGAAGCTGAGCAACTAGCAGCTTTCTCCTTATAAAATCCATGAACTTGGAATATACACAAGAATGAAATCTCTCACAATTATAGTGATGCTGCTTCAAGAAGCAGCAATTCGACATCTTTTAAGGGATTTTGTCTAAATCTGGTGTGAATATTATCAACTTTTTCAACCTGTTAGCTTGTACGTAACAGAACACCAAATAGTTAAGTTAGTTATTGTAAGATGAAAACTAATGTTTAGACCATGCATCTTGTTTTCCATTAATATTGGTGAATTCCAGCTTGGTGGTGTAATAGAACTGAACCTTTGCAGTATGTCCAGTCATGACATTTGAACTCAACTAAATATTTCACTGCCCAATGTTTGTGGCATCACAACTAAAGTGAAACAATTGGAGGCAACAGCAACTCATCCAGTAAGCGGTATTCAACATAATCCACAGAGCAGGGTCACCAATGAGTGTTGTGTGCAGAGCACACTGGGTTTCTCCAAACTTCATATAGCCTTTAGATTAGGTAAAGAGCAGTGCATAGAAAGTGTGCTGGAAATGGTTTCCATTGCCAATGGACTACATTCAAGTCTTTTATCATCACAGAGTGTAATGCAAAGTTTTTAATGTAGTAGTGTAAAATATAGCAGTGGTGGTATGAGTGAGATGCATTATACTTCTCTAGCCAGAAATCCTTCCTTAATAAAGCTAATCCTGATTTATGTAATTTTATTAGTCAATAATTAACACAAAAGGTTTAGCTGTATGAATTTAAGTCCAACACTCCTCCTTATTGTTTATTTGCACAGCATGAGACATTCTAGTGAAACTACAGAAACCAGTCTTTACAGATGCTAATTACTTAAAATACAACTTCAATAAAGGATATTCACTATACAGTGCCATATCAACATACCATATCATGTAGACTTTAATTCCTTTCATTCAGATTTTTCTGTGATAAAACAAGGGATACAATGTAGAGCATACAAAAAAGTATTTTTCTGGATTTTTTGAGAAAAGGAGATAATTGATTTGTCAAAGATGTATCCATGTTCCTTAGGAAGCTAAGTCCAAGACCATGTTAAACTGTCAATATAATGCACCTTTTTTCTGAAATGAAGTGCTACTTTTAACACCAGATGAGGACAGCTTTCAAAAGAATCCACTTTGACCCACTGAATATTTTAGCTAAAGGATTGGGATGAAGATTTATTTTTTGCCATTTGAGAAAAGATTTTTTTCAATGTTTTTCACATTGTTGCTGGATACCGTTAATCCTGGCTTCTTTGATTCAGTCCCTAGAGAAACATTTAGAAATACACTGTTTTTGTAAATATTTTCAGTTAGAGTTGATGATATGTGATAGGTGATATGAAATCATCAGCCTTGCAGAATTGCATGTAATTGTTCTAACAATACATTGGAAGAGCAACAAAACATTATCACAAAGGAAAAGCTGAAATCAAGGAAACATGCTTCATATTGCTGTGATTGATAGCATAAATAAGACTATAAAACTGTGGGTAGGTCCTTTTCCACAAATAAATGTCTTCTTGATGTGTTACAGATGTTGAATAAATGAAGCATCCGCTTTTGAGCGAAATTAAATTTAGTCTGATGCGTATTGCCGTTTTCTTGGCCATCTCTGGAGCTGTTTACAACCAAAGCTATCTGTGTTCTTGTTTTTTATGATTTGCTGGATTCAGGCTTGGTGACCAGTTTTATAAAGAGGCCATTGAACACTGTCGCAGCTACAATGCCCGCCTCTGTGCTGAGCGCAGCGTGCGGATGCCCTTCTTGGACTCTCAAACTGGTGTGGCTCAGAACAACTGCTACATCTGGATGGAAAAGCGTCACCGCCGACCAGGTAACAACATCTTAAGGGCTAAAAAATCTGCCTGGTCCTGAAAAAAAAAATTATGAAAAAATCTGTTCTTCTTAGAGATTTGTGACTAGTTATATTTTGCAACCCATCTAAAAAAAATGCATACTCTAATGTGTATCTGATTTGACTTAAAATGTGTTACTACAGAGTCTTTGCACAGAAAAAGGGAGCCGTCTGCTGAGCCAATAGTGCAGCAGATATTAGCCAACCTTAAAAAGGAACCGTGCAAATGTCAGCAAAGAGCGTTTCATTTTGCTTTCCTCAGCAGAGATGGTTACAAATAAGTTACTAGCTGCAGTATTATTATTTAGCAGGTGCTGAAATAATCAGAACAGTCTAGCACCAATAACCATGCTAGGAAGGAATATTTAATATCCTCTCAGTTTTATCCAATAAAATGGCTAATCAAAGTAAAGGTCTTCCTTCTATTCCTTCAAACAGCTAAGAAACGTGGTCAGAAATAGAGAATGGTTTCTCCAATTAATGTGATATCAACCGTCAGAACAGTATAAATGAACAGTTTATTCCATTCACATTGACAAAAGTTCTTATTTGAAGCCGCCTTTTTGAATTTTGAACTAAAGCTGATTCTTGGACCTCCAACTTTCAATGCCACAATTTGAACTTAAGTTGATCTTAAATTTAATATAGGGCTGAAACAATCAGATTAATCAGAATTAATTAATTATTGAAATGTTCATCAACTAATGTAGTAATTGATTAATCATTAACTTGAGTATAGAGACTGTAAAACATGCATTTAGCTGATAGAGCGACCCACTAAGTGCAGTAAGATTGTAAATAAAAAATTCTGAAAACAATTTGCATTCAAGAATAAAAAAATGTTTCCATCTGCCAAAATGCTCTATCCAGAACTTCACAGGTGGATTAATCAATTTGCAAAATAATCTGTAGTTGCAGCCCTAATTTAATATTTGCTTTAAGATTATTTTTCAATTTCAATTTCTTCAATCTGTCAAAATGACAGTAAATATTCCCATGTTCCTCTGATTGATTTATATTACTTGAAATATACAGTTCTATGCAGATTTTCTTTGCATCAGCTTGCCAAATAAATGAACGTCAACTCAGGAAAGACTATCATAAAGATAGAAATATCAAACTATTTTGTAGATTCATGCCAGTTCTTTTATTCTGCATCTAATCTTAGAATAATCCATGGAGACATATCAGCTCAATGCCTGAGCTGTTTAATTTATACATACGTAAGACAAACTTAACATTAAGTATGTGCATCTCATGAAAGTCCGTCACTGATTAATCCTGCACCAGGCATTCAGAATTCACCATGAACGCGCGGTTTCTCTGCAAAAGCGAAGAGAACAATCTGCTTCTTACTGAGATCTGGACATAAATAGCCCACTCTCCATCTTGTATGCAAAGCCCTTGAGGCCACACCCTATACTTTGTGGCAGACCTAACTCGCATTATATGAATTTATTCTAGGTTGATGCCTCCCCTCCTTCTCTTGACTTTTTTTCTGTCTGTGCTCATGTGGATATAATTAAACCAATAGGAAATGAGGATTATATGCATACAAGGAATAAAATTCATTAAAGTTAAATATGTTTTCTATGACATCCTACAATCTAAACATTAAGATTCTCAATCTCAAAATACATTGTTTCAGATATCTATCTGATTTGTATCTATCTATCTTAAATCACAAATTACTAAGACGTTATTATTGATTGTGAAAATGATTATACCCTTTAAGGTTGCCATCACTAACATGTAAATGATCGTTAATATCATTTGTGTGTGTGTCGGTCCAGGCCAGGCGGCGGGGCAGATGTATACATACCCTGCTCGGTGCTGGAGGAAAAAGAGGCAACTCCACCCCCCCCTGGATCCCCAGCTTCGCCTGTGTGAGCTTCGGTTAGGTAAAGCAAACAACACAGCCATGCAGAATTAGACACAAAATGAAAAACCCTGAAAGCTGCAAAGGATGGTTACACCAGATATTTTACTTGTGTATCTCTAATTTTTGCTTGCAACCTTCTCTTAAGGCTTGTGTGTATACATACTCTGCTTGTTTTATTAATTCTTGCTATCAGGCCATCTGGCTTTGGTTAGCCTCTCTCTCACCAGGTCTTCAGGTTCATTCACTCCTTCGAATCAATGCCCCCTCTCACTGTTCTGTGGATGTTCTCACACGCACGCCCCGACACACGGACACACACACACACATATATATATATATATATATATATATATATATATATATATATATATATGTACATATGACTTCTGCTCCCCCACTGCAGCTCAGGAGCACCCTAACTGGGCCTCTATAATCATTTGTCCATGAGGCATTAAAATACAGCTTAGCCTTTTGAGAAGGCAGTATGTGTTTCATTTTGTTAGCTCTCATCCCTGCCTGCACCATGCATTTTGTCTTATGGGGGATTTGAAAGTGGAATACCAAGGAACCCGATAAGAGGAGGAATAGAGGGGATTCTTTGTTTCTTCTCTCTACCACTATTGTTCCCCCTTCTGTGTCTTCCAGATGCAATGTAATACTCCAAAGTGTTCTGCAAAGAATGAGTTTTCTTTATGCAGAGGAAATTGAGTCCTTCTTTGTGTAAAAACATGGTAAAAAAAAAAACTCCCCAGAGCTGCAACTGAGCAACCAACCCATCTGTAATACCAAAAAGGTGAAGGGATTGTTTAGACTATATATGATAAGACAGCAGAAGAATTTGAATTCTTTCCTGCAGGGCTTTCTCAAATGCTTTTTTTTTAATGTCTCCTGAACAAAGGCTTGTGTGTTCGAATAGGTACACAGAGGATCAGCTTTGAAATAATATCAGTTCTCATTCTTGTACCTCATTTGCTTTGTGTTTTGGACACCAGAGCAGAACTTTTGTGAAGAAGTCTGGAACCAATTTTCTTTCTGAAGCATATGACTAAAGAAAAGAGCTAGACTGCATTTTGTTGTAACACTGCATCCCAAAATGCTGTGACATACGATGCAGATCAAAACATTTACTTTAAAATGACAGATGAAATCAGCTCCTGTTCATGAAGTGAACAGTAATCCTACTATCCTGGGTAGGATGGGACTCCTGTGCTGACTCCGGACAGCCTTTAGCCCTCCGGGCGTCATTTATAAAGACTACAGCCTTCCTTATACCAAAACATTTGCATCTGCCGCACACAGGAAGCATGTGACATTCATAACTGGCCTTAGAGCAAATGCAACTTTAAATACAGTTTGGAAGGAGACCTAAATGGAAGAAAGGCTGTGATGTAGGCTACACACCCATGCAAAGCATTTCATTCAGGACACTAAAAGGTTGCCGACTGCTCAGTTAGTTTAAGATCCCCCCACTGATAGCAGCAACAGATTCCAGAAAAGTTGAATCATTTGATTTGATAATAATGGAAAAAATTGCCCTAAACAACATTTTACAAATGGTTGACAGCAAACTAACAAAATAAATATGAAGTGTTTTTTGTTTGTTTGTTTGTAAGATCACCATCTCTTTATGAAAAGAGATTTCAGATAAAACGGATACAGACTCAGAATCCCCTCTGAGGCAGAGCGAGATTAAGAAAGAAAACATAAATTTGTGCTAAAGTTTAATGAATCAAACATAAGGAAAGTAAGTTTAAAATAAAATCAAACACACAACATCCTGTGCAAATAAGAAAAAGAATGACACATAGCTCATGGTTTGTGGGTAACTCCTTCAATGTTGAATTTAAACAGTGAGAGGAGATATATATTTTCTATTTAATGCCAACAGTCAAGAGGAAACAAAGTACTGTCCAAAATTTTATACAGTTTAGAACTATTTTTAGCAGCAGTAGCTTGAAGTAGTTATTTTCTCCCTCGGATAATTGAGGAGGAATTTAAGGTTTCCAGACATTTGTTTCCGCACATTTCTTAAGGTCCTAGATATTTCTGTCAGTTTAGGTATTGACTGCTCTTTTTTTACACTATTGTGTTTCTACGGTAGTTTTCCTTTTGTGTTAAGGATCAATTTCTTGTTGAAGACCAAATATCAGGGTTTGGCTGATAGACAGGTATTAGGCAGGCAGTTCTATATTTAGAGGAATGAATGAGATCCTGATCTGCAAAAACAGATCATCCTGACCTGAAAGATGGTAAAAAGTTAATAGGTTAGTGTTTTGTTTTGTTTTTTTCAATAAATATTGCTTCATTAATCAGAGCCTATGACCAACTTCGCTAATCTTTCCAAAAAAAATATCTCCAAAATATTTTAGTTAATTAGAGAAAAGCTTAGCAAACATTAATTACACCTTTATTAACATAACTAACAGCCCAAACTGGCTGTTAAGTCTGCATAATGATTGAAACCTTGGTTGGAAACAAAATAAGATTTTTTAATGTCACTGCTTTTATTATAGTTTTCATATTTACCTGTTTGCTGTAGACTAGAGCAGCTCCCTGATGCCCTGCAGCATGTTTTAGCCCATACCTGCGCTGGGCAGATTCAGCTGATGTATATATAGAGTGACGTGACAGCCGGGGCTGCAGGAGGGAGTTAAAAATCCTGTCTTTCCCACAGAAATTGAAAATAGGCTTTATAAAATAAGAAAAGCAATAGAGGAGAGGGTGAAAAAAAAGGAAGAGTAAACATCTGCTTGCTCACTTTAAGTAAAACACACATTTGAATGGAATATTAGCAGCAACAGCTGTCTCAGTGTGAAGACAGCACATCAGGATATATTTACGAACAATGGATTCCTTGTAAAGTTGGAACTGTGAAGATATCTTTATTTATACTGGAAAACAATGTCTTACTCAATGATTTACCATCATATTACTGAAGGTTAAAACGTGTCAAATAAAACAGATGAAGTGAGTAATATAAATGAAAGGTCTTGATTGAATTATTAATCAGAGTTTAAGTATTAAACAATTTAGTTCGGGTTACATTGAATTATTTGTGGAAAAAGGAAAACGTATGGTCATCACTTGATTATCTAATTCAATGCATTTGGGAAAAACCAAAACACAAGGTATAGACAGATATGTCACTCTTCGTGATCCTTCCAGTTCCAGTGGCATAAACACAACAATATGATGAGCAGTATTAGAAAAGATACCCATACGTTGATGCATTCTGCCTTAAAATGCTTTTTGCATGATGGAGGTTTAATAATTCCAACTAAAATATCAGAGTTTCTAGAGTTAACCCCCCCCAAACTACTGTCTAAGTTATACAGGACACTGACTAAACTGGATGATACAATATCTCTTCCTATTACTAAATGGGAGGAGGATTTATCAGTCAGCCTTGAACAAAACATCTGGGCTCAGATATGTCTAAGAACTTTTAACATGACCAGAAACCCCAATTTACAATTAATACAATACAAAATCCTCCACAGAGTGCACTATACAGGTCAAAGATTATTCAAGATGGGTTTTGCGCAATCTAACATCTGTCCACAGTGCACAGGCAATCGACTTGATAATTATTTTCACGCGCTATGGTTATGCACGCCGGTTCAGAGATTCTGGGTACAGGTATGTAAGGATCTATCACTGTGCCTGGGTTGTAAAATCCTAATTTCCCCTTCAGTTTGCTTGCTGGGTGACTTTGAGGGAAGCTCTATGGGAAAAAAATCGGTTTGCTTGGCATTCACTGCATTATGTATCGCAAAGAAAACTATCCTCATGAATTGGAAGAGTAAGGATAAACTCAACATCAATCAGTACAGAGATCTGTTGTTGGATCATATTAATCTTGAGACAGCATCTGCATCCCCATCAGACCGATCTCTCTGGGCTCCCTTGATCGGCTCCATCACTTAGTGTAGTGGGGGGCTATGGGGTGCGTCTTGTGGGGCGCGGGGGCTAGTTCGGGGGTCCTTGGGTCCTGGGGGCTCGGGGGGGTGCTCGGAGCGGGGTGCCTGGCGGGTCTGGCCCGGGGGACTGTTGCGTCGGGGCGGGGTCTGGGGCGCCGCGGGGGGGTCCGGCGGCGGCCGCGTGCGGTGCTCTTGGGGGGTTCCGTGGTGGCGGACGTGGGCTACTGGCCTGGTGGCTGTGCTGCTGCTGGGTGGGGCTGGGCGCCGGGCATCGGTTCTTTTGTGGTGCTGGCCGGGGTGCTTCTGCTCTGCGGGGCGTCGGGGCGTGCCTCGTCTTCCGGTGCCGGGTTTCGGTGGTTGGCCGTGGTGCTTGCCGTGGTTGCGTCGTCCGGGGGGGGCGTGGGTGGTCGCGCCTGTGGCCGGGGTTCGTGTGTGTCTGTTGTGGGCGGGTTGCGGGCGTCGGGGGTCCCTTTGGAGTGCCCCCGGGTCGGGGTGTGGCTTCGCTCTGTTGGGGCGGGTGCCGGTGACGCGTGGTGCGGTGCATCGTGCGCGGCTTGGGAGTGGAGGGTTGCTCGGTGTTTGGCGGCGGGGGGGGGGGACGGGCCGCGTGGCCGTCCTCCTCTCGGCGGCCTGTGGGCGGTGCGGGGCCGGAGCGGGGTGGGTCGTGCTGCTTTCGCGCCGGGCGCGGCGGGGGTGGTGGGGTCGCGTCTGCTGCTTTCTTTTTGCTGCTTGTGCCGGCTTCTGGCGGCTGGGGCGGCCTTGCTGCTCTGGCTCTCTGGCGTGCGCCGGGTGGGGCTGCTCTGTCCTTTGCTTTGCCTTGCGGCTGTGTTTGCTGTGGTCGGTGGGGGCGGGGTGGTTTCGTTGTGTTTTTGGGTGGGGGAGTCCGCCTGGGGGCTTGGTTGGTGCCGTCGGTTCGTCCTTGTCGGCCTTCCGGTGTTGTTTCTGTTGGGGCTGCTCGGGCCCCCGCATGCCGGCGGTGCGCTGCCGGGGGGATTCCTGTTCGGCGGGCTTGCCTGTCTCCTGGGAGGGCAGGCATGTTGACTTTTCTGGGGAGGAGCATCTGGGTGGAGGGGTCCTCGTGGTGTGGCGGTGGGTGTTG